CACACAATGATTTTTTTTTCACCATTGTCTACCCTTTCCAACTCACCACGCTATGTCTGCATGCATGTGTGTGTGTAAAATATTTCTTTTTACATGTCCTTCTCCACATTCCTACATACCAGAGAGATGTTCTTGGCTTTCTGTGAATCAAATTCTGATCCAGAGATCTCTTTACTATTCTAACCCCCTAAGCCTTCTAGAGGTTCCTTACAAAGGATCCCATTAAAGGTTCACAAGAGCAGATACTGTTCATTTTTTATTAAAGTAGTTGGGTAAATATATCAAATCTGTAAATGTCTGGAGTATTTTTGGCAACAACAATTGCTCTGGGGAGGATTCCAGGGACTGCAAACAGCATTGCTCTGGAGAGGGAAGCAAAGGGTCATAGATGAGAAGAGGACTTTCTTTTTACTGGGTACTCTTTTGTGCCATTTGTTTTTTTACCATGTGCAAATATTACCTTAAAAAATTACACAAGAAGGGTATTGACTACCAATTGACATTTGTTGGATACTGACTGTTCAAGTGACTATTCACTGGTGTTTGACTATAAAACCTCTTTGAAAATTTACAACAGCCTTATGTAAAACCCTATGTTCCAAACTCAGATAGTATCCGTCACTAGCTGATAAATGGCAACATGGAGAACTGAACTCAGTTCTGCTTTCCAAAACCATAGACTATGTTGTGTTGACTTCAAGTCTTCCCAAGGGAACAAAATGTGTAAGACTGTAGCATTGGGACTACTTTTAGGAAACTAAAGGAACATTGGAAGTCCTATCACATGGTTCACACCAACAACTTAATCTTCCTTGACCCGAGATGCCTTGTTAAAAGCCAGTCACGCATGTATCACTCCACTGGGAGTTGAGCCTCCCTGATGATTCCCCCAAGTCCTTCCCTGGCACTGGGGTGCTCACTCCAGAGGTGGGGAAGTTACCTGTTCCCGTACTGTCTCCAGTAAACTTCTATGTCTAAGTGGGGGATTTTCGGGGTAGAAGTGAAATGGCTTGTCAATATTCTAGTTCTCCTAAGCATATGGATTCTTCATTTATTTAGCAATTATCTTTTGAGTGGTCCAGACACTGGAGGCAAGCACTCTTCTGAAGGGTCAGAATTACAGAGGTGAGCAAGGTCCTTGCCCCCAGGAAGCATCCATCCTGGTGTGAAGAGGCAGGCAATAAACAAACAAGCAAGCAAGTAAGCAGAACGCCAGATAATGAGTGTATTGAGGAAAATTAAAACCTACTGTTAGGCAGCGTGACTGGGTGACTACCTCATCACGGGTCATTAGGAGGGCCTTTCTGGGGAAATATTTACTTAAATGACAGGAATGACAAATATGCCCTAGGAGCTATGCCCTTCAAAACAAGCTCAGGTTCCTGTGTGTTCCATTCCCTCACCCAATTTCTATTCCAATCTGCTGTTCATTTACAAGGAGATTTTGCAGTCCCAGAAGTTAGCACTAGAAAGGACCCAAGAAGTCTTCTTAGTCCAATGCCATCATTTTAGAGATGAGGAAAGAAAAATGTAGAAAAGTGGAAAAAGCAGGTCCCATAGCTAGTTGGTGGCCTGACCAGTGTATGAGAGTCCTATCTAGCCCATATTTCTTCCACAAACCCACATTCCTCCCCTGCTTATCTGTCCAGTGTTCAGCTCCTCCCTGTAGAACCTTCACCCTGGTGCCTGCCTTTCTGGAGTCCACTGACACTAAATCCTCTCTGGACCAAGGGGACCATCTGAAGCAGCATTAGGCATCTTGAGGATGATATCCTGGGGACGAGGATAACAGTGGAAGGACCAACACAACTTTCCATGATGAAATCTCACCACAACCCTGCCATTCCCTGGAGCCATACCTGCCATCCTCCCTGCCCACAAGTGAGCCCTAATAGGATCCTTCAAGTTGGGGAGCTACATGGCTCTATGACCTCAATGAACACTATACATCTATCTTCCAACGTGTTCCCTGGTTTAATTGAGTTGAGATGAAAACATTCTATTCTCTCAACCCCTCTCAAAATGCCTTACAAAAAGATTAACCACAGAATTTCTTTAAATAGCAACTTCCTTTAGTACATGTAAAGTATGATCTACAAAAATTCAATCTACACAAAGATTTTCTCCTCCCCTTCCCCACGAAACAACAGCTACCATATCAAGGGCAATAACATAAACTTGGATTCTTAATGGTAGATTTTGGGATTCTTTTATTATGTAATGATTTTCATACATGCTACAAATACTTATTGAACTGCTCTATGAAATATGCTCTTACAGGTTGTTGTGAGGACACAATTGAGCTAAAGACACAGCCTCTGCCCTTTGGAACTGTGCATATGGACAACTCGAACAAGAGGCAGATGTGATGGGTGCTACCTCAGATGTATGGACAAAATCAACAGGGGACAAGGGAGTGTGAGATTTTATCTCAGTCAAAGATGAGGAAAGGAAGCTGCAATATTTTAATTGGGTATCAAAGGATGGTTATGATTATATAATTGGATAATTCATTCTAGGAAGAAATATCATGGCATGTACAGGGGACAGGACCTACAAAGGCACATTCTCAGAAGAGGAAGAAGCCCAGGGTAGCTTAATTGTGAGACAGGAAATCATGAGGAGGAGAACAAAGGCTTGGAAGGGAGACTAGAGCCTTGAATGCAAGAACAGATCAAGTCTAGCCCCAATCCATAAACCATAGAAGGCTCAAGTGGGCTTTGGGCAGAGTAAGAACATCACAGTCAGAGTTGTGCTTCAGGAAGCTCATTCTGGCAGCCATATTTTGGACTAATCTGAAGGGGTAAGGGCAGATGCCAGGGACAAGGAGGCCCATTTAAAAAATTATCACATAGTTCCTGGATCATATATAAAGAATAAATTCAAGAGCTAGAATAAAAGTAGAATTGGTGAGGGAAGGGATCCAAACCCTAGCAAGGAGGGTCTAGTTCTGGAAAGGGCTGAGGGGCACAGGCCTCAGATTCTGGACTCAAGGAGTCAGTATGACCTGATGGTGAGTGGTGTCTCTTTAAGAAAAGGCAGTTGTGAGATGCCTCCTCCTGCTTGAGACAGTCATTGTGAGCCTACTGCAAAAAAAAGCTGTCCCCTCTGTACATCTTATGAGCTACCTATGAAGCCTCAGTTATTAATAACTCCTCTTCTGGAGACAGACAGAAGTGCCTGTTATACATGAGGAGCCCAGAACATTTCTTAAATTATGACGTCTCTACAGCAGCAGTGAAAGCAGCTTGATTGGAGTGAAAAGCAGAAGCCCAGGGAACATCCATTTCTGAACAAATGATAACTCGGTGGAGGGAGGGCAACTTTAATCAAGAACATCAGGCAGGCCAGGCACAGTGGCACGCACCTCTAATTCCAGCACTTTGGGAGGCTGAGGCAGAAGGATCACTTGCAGCCAGAAGTTCAAGACCAGCCTGGGCAACATAGTGAGACCTCATTTCTACCAAAAATTTGAAAGTTGGCCAGGCATGGTGGTGCACACCTGTAGTCCCAGCTACTTGGGAGGCTGATGGGGGAGGACAGGTTGAGCTCAGGATTTTGAGGTTGCGTGAGCTATGACAGCACCACTGCATACTAGTCTGAGTGACAGAATGAGACCCTGTCTCAAAATAATAAGATTAAATAAAAAGCTGGCGTAATTTAAGCCTTATAATTGTGCCCTATCTGGTAAGAGAAAATGCATGATAGATAGAGGTCTTTCAACTTGAAGAATTAGATCCTGGATTCTCCTGCCTGAGCCACACATGCCTCGTTTCTTGGATGAGCGTTCACACATTCACATAACTAGCTGTCCAGGGCTCTCTGTTATGAGGTTGTGAATTTCAAGAAGTTTATCTCTGGCCTCATTTTCTGGTAACTCTCTCTAGAAATATATAGCTGGATTTCCATTCTAGGCAGAACTATGCTAACATTTTGAAGCACATTCTCAGCCAATTGGCCCATGGAATCTGTGGAAGTTGTCTTAGTTTCCCAACATGCTTTCACAGAATATGAATATCATGAACAAAGGGGTCTTGGGGTAGAATAATTTTGGGAAATTCCATTCTAAATAAAAGTTAAGGTATTTCTTTGCTATAAGACACCTCTGAACTTTCAAGGGTTGGTATGTTCTAAGACTCTCCTAGAGTCAGAAACAGTAGTTAGCATCTCCCAACCTTATGTATCTGTAAAACTATTTTCAGCAAAATGTCTCGAGAGACAAGAGTACTGCAGAATATATTTGGAGAAAAATCAGCAATGACATTACTCTCAGGAATATTTGTATTCAACTGGGAATCTGGAATAATACAAATTGTAATACTAATTGAGTGCTTACTATGCACCAGGCACCTTTCTAAATACTTTACGTATACTTAATCCTTATACCCGTTGGTACTATTATTTCCCTTCTATGGATGAGAAAACTGAGGCACCGATTAGTGAAGAGATTTGTCTAAGATCCTAAATAGAGCTGGGAATTGGACCTAGACAGTCTGGTGCCCACAGAAATTAGTTTCTGATGGTAGAATTCCAAACACTGTGATCAACTGTCAGTGGGAGAAATTCTGAGCAGAGCCTTGCATGGGAATCCTTCAATCACAGTAAGTCTAAACCTGTCTTCTCATATTTTCATCTTTACAAGCTTCCCAGATGCTCTCTAGGACACAACTCCTGAACTATACCACTAATTCAATTTTGTCACCAAATTATGTTATATTGTACACACATACTCTCCCACGAAAACAAAGTCATGATTCAGACAGCAATGCAATTATCAACAATAAATGGAAATACATAAAGAAAACAATCTCTTGATTAACCAAAACAGCAAGTAAATGAACATGCAAGTTTGAGAAATGGCTTCTCCTGTGTATCAAGATATTGATCCTTTGCTCCACAGGTCTAGGGACAAAAACCAAAGGACTGCTTTCCTTCCATGTGTTGCAAAATTTCACATCTCTACTCTACTTTGCTCAAGAATTGTCAAAGACATGTCCTACCCTTTCCCACTTCCTCTCCTTGTTCAGAAGAATTATCACCAGTTTTGGGTGCATCTGGTAACCATCTTCACTGAAGGACAGATTCCTCCCCTCAAAAGTGACGTTGATCAGATACCTGTAAAGATGAAATAAAACGAAGATTAAAAGTATGAAGAGGATATACCACGAACAAGGCAGTTAGGTATATAGAGAGAAAGCTGGCTAAAGACAGACCAGTAAATAGAAATACAGATACCATTACCAAACTTGGTATACCTTGAACTCCCATTTGATTATGCAATAGAGTCATCCAAATTTTCACAGAGTAGGAATCATATGAAAAAGTAATATAAAAATTTTAAATAAAAGATGTTTGGTCACTGCATGTTCTTACTTACAAGTGGGAGCTGAACAATGTGAACGCATAGATACAGGGAGGGGAACAAGACGCACTGGGGTCTGTAGGCAGGGAGACGGGGAGAGGGAGAGCATCAGGAAAAACAGCGAATGTATGATGGGCTTAATATTTAGGTGATGGGTTGATAAGTGCAGCAAATCACTATGGCACAAGTTTACCTATGAAGTGAACCTGCACATCCTGCACATGTACCCAGAACTTAAAATTAAAAATAAAAATGCTTAAAAAGGTGTTTGGTTGAAGTTCACTCTATAGGTATGACATTGAGCAAATTACTCAGCCTTTCTGAGCCTCAGCGTTTTTCCCTATTGGCAAAAACTAGTATAATAAAGGGACCTACTTCATTAGGTTTGTAAGGCTTAAATGGGATAACTTAGGTTAACCACTTACCATGTGGCCTGGTGCATAGTAGAGTCTCATTAAGTGCTAACAATTGCTATTGAAAAACAAAGATGGATTAAAGGTTGGAGATGGTAGAGACAAGAAATGAAAGTAAGAGTGTACCAAGACAACTTTCTGCTAAGAAAGGTCTCCCTCTATCCCAGATTAGGGTCTCCCTCTATCCCAGAGATATGTACATACTCTTTAACTCTTGCTAAGGTCTTGCCCGTACTTCTAAGAGTTGTGAGATGAGTACAGTAAGCAAGGATCTGATATGACAGGATGCATCTGGAAACCAGGGCTATTACACTGTGTATAGGGAACAGAAAATACTAAGGAATGGGAAAAGGTGGGAGAGGCATTTCACAGAGTGCTCTGGTGACTTGTGCATAGATTAGCGGAAACTCTGGAGGTAACTAGAGTCAGACCAATGAAACTGTCTTCCTCCTGGACACCTTCACCTTAGCCCACCCTTTTCCCCTCTGGCTGCTGTCATCTGATGAGCAGTCCCTTCATTGGGAATTCCCAAAGGCATGCTCATTACAACTGCATTAGTGCAACTGCACTGATGGTAATTAATGTCTTTTTACCATAATGGACCAAGGAATCAATAATGATTAGCTCTGTGTTCACATGACATGTTACTCTGGAGCCTTGGGCCTGATGTTGCTTGTGAGACATGTCCCTGCTAAGAAACAAAAGGGATATGTTGTAATTGTAGTGAGGATGCTAAAGGAGGCAGCTTAAAAACTCTTTTTTTTTTTTTTTAACTCCTTTCATTCATTGAAACTGGGAGGTCTTCTTTGATTCTTCCAGGTAATGTTAGGTTAAACAACAAGGTTGCTAGGATGCATATCCTTCTGGTGATTCTAATGATGCTTATGCAGCATGAACCAAATCCTCATGGATCACTTCTCACTTCCAGAACTACCTGGGATGTTTAAGCTTGTCATTCCCTGATCTTGTGTAGCTTCACAAATGGAATCAAGAATGCAGAAGACCCCAAAGGAGTAGCGATTCCCAGAATCCCTAGAACTGAAAGAGACTTTCATAATCAACTAGCCTACCACTTCTTACAATTTATGCTTCCCTTCTATATTATAAAATTGGTCTTCTCAGCTCTTCTTGAATTCTTTCACTGATGGGGAACTTTTCATGGCACCTTCCGGGCTCAAGGTAGCCATCTCAGTGTTGGCTACTTAGTTCTTTCTTACTTAAAGCTGAAACCTTCTCCCCTGCAACCCTTTGATACCTGTTTCCTTTTTAGAGATTCTACAGTCTTAGTCTAATCCTTCTTCTACATGAGAGTTTCTCAAGTATTTAAAGACATTTATCATACATCCCTTATGAAATGAATTTTACTCTTTAAATAACCATTAAACTCTTTTAGTTCTAAAATTTTAACTTGATGGATTAAAAAACAAACACAAGAAGGTTAAATTATTTGTCCAATGTTATTGTATGGCAGACGCACCTGACAGCAATAAGTTATGCATACCCTGAGAATGACCCTACAGTCTCAGAAAAGTGTATGTTCGGAGTCCTAAGCTAAGAAATCTGGAAATAGTCAACTCAGAGATTTACTTTTTATCTGTGAAGGACATCTAAACCCCTAGTTCATCTCTTAGTATGCAGGTCATACAGGGGATCAAAGTCCTTTGTTTTGGGTTAAATGAACGTTTAGGTGAACGTTGCTAAGTGAAAATGCTATATAAACTGCATGCATTTTACAAATGGTAGCAGTTCTCCTGTCCAGCCCACCACCACTGGATTGTCCTTCTATGTAAGTTCCCCCAGTAAATTCTATGTCTCATTCATTGTCTCTGGGTCTGTTCTTAGGCATTTCAGATATGGTGCCATCGCTATTGGAGTCAATAAGGGTCCAGTATGACAGTTACACAGCTAATTGGGAGCAGAAGTAACATTTTAAGCAATATCTCCAGTTCCATGTCCTTTCCTGACACCAGTCTGATTGTCATATACAACATCAGGGTTAGCATGCCAAGTCCTTTACATATTCCTCATATGCCATGGCTTCATGTTTTCTACCATTCCATCTTGGCTGCTCTCTCCAGACACCTCCACTCAGTGACATGTTGCATCCCCAACACAACTCAGTGCTCAGTGTGCTCCACTCCTTGCCCTGCTCCTCAGCCTTCAGCCCAGAGCTGCTCACCCAAGCCTATCATTAGTGTGAAGGTAATATTCAGGTCTCCTATAGTTTGCAATGACTCTAACACTCCAACCAAAAGCCCTGAAGAATTCATTGCAGAGAGTATAATTACAAAAGCACAAGACAAGTTATTTTAAACCAACAAACTAGAATGTAACCGTGAATATAATATACTTGAAAATATATTCTTACTACAAAGACACTGAAGAATTTCTGGAGTCTTCAAATAAAGTTTATGAGACATGTAAAACAATTTGGTCTCATCTATTTTGAAAGGAGGAAGGAAAGAAGGAAAAAAGAAGAAAGAAAAGGAAAGAGGAAGGAAAGAAAGAGAGGAAAAGTGGGAGGAAGGAAGAGAGAGATGGAGGAGAGAGGGGTAGGGAAGAAGAAGAATGGGAGGGAAATAAATGATCTGGCTTAAGCATCCACCTTTTCATCAGACACTGTGCTGAATAATTCTGCCTTTATCTAAAACACCATTAAGAATATTTAAACGAAAGTATCTATTTCAGAAGGCAATTATAAAAGAGGAGTTCCAAAAATAACTCAATTAATAAGCAGCATCAATGGAATAACTATATAGCCTCTCAAGATGACTTCTTTGAAGGGGACAGCATTGAACTGGGTGTATAAGTTGAGAAATTTGAACTTGCAGAAAATAAATCACACTCATGGGAAATGTAATTGGTCTGTAAATTTCTCTGGCTATTCCTGTTCCAGAAACTTCTGATTTTCCTTAGAAACTGTTCTCTTTCTGGGGTGCTCCTCCTCTTCCAGCTGTAAGTTCATTTTATCTACTTAAGCACTCCTCACATATTTTACACTTAAAAACATTAGTAAAATTTTATGACAATATACAAAATATTCTTCTCCAAAGTATCCTTTCATCATTCATATCTGTCAGCAGCATATAGATTAATCATTCACACTGTGTTTTTATGAGTAATTTCTTGCGGTGTGAGAACATTTAGCCATTAGTGAGGAGCTTGCAAATATACACCAGCCTTGAGCAAGATGCCCTTTGAATAGCAGAACAAACCCATCCATTCATTGGTAATGAATAGTGTGAAAAAATAGTTGGGGGTGTGGTCACTTCTAGACATGTGATCTTGGCACCTGAATCTCAGTTATTCTTCTCTAAAATGAAGACATCATTTTACCTCCAGCTTATCAGAGAAGTCTGTTGTGATGATCAAATGAAAGAGTGGGTAGGAAAACTATATAAAATATGATACCAATATAAGGTTATTTCATAGGAAAAATTCAGAAAAAGAATATATTAGCATAATTTGAGTATCTAAAGGCAAGAAAGTTGCTTGATTTTAAACCTCAGTGAATAAGTGTGATAACTACATTTTAATAAGACTCAATTATCAATGAAATACATCTGAAAAATGGAGATTGGCTTCCACACATGGAGGCTAAACTAGATCAAATGGCTATATTAATCAATTTAACTTTCCATAAGACCTGAAAATATCCAACTACCTTTCGATCTGGCTGTATTTTGTCAATTTTTACTATTAATTAGAACCTCAAAACTGTCATGTGTGAATCCTGGGTAAAGGATTAAATTATACTTAAAATTAAGAGATGCCATAGCTATTCTATTTCTCTCCAAACATGTCATCCTCAAGTACACAGTCAAAAAGCCTTGCTTCAAGTGGCAGCCAAATGCAGAAGTTCTGCCCATGAGACTCAAATCCCCTGGAAGTCCCATCAAGGTTGTGTGTGTGTGTGTGTGTGTGTGTGTGTGTGTGTGTGTGTGTGTACGTACTTTAAATTGCTTGATTTGTCTCTAGAATGTAGTTTGAACCTCAAGAAACCAGATGGTCTGTCTCATACAGTTCTAATATTACACAGAATCTCACAGTGCTAGAACTAGGAGAGAACTTAGAAATTATCCATTGAGAACCCTCATTTTAGAGAGGAGAAAATAGGTCCCAAGATGCAAAATGACTTTCCCAGGTGACCTGCCTGTTTAGGACGGGAGCTTAAGTCTTCTGACTCTCAGCTCAGGGTCTTTCCATGATCACCAACTGAAGTGAAATCAGTTCCACAGAGCTCCAGATGTGCATTTTAGCATTCTTGCATCACATGGCCCATCCTGGACTATATAGATCCCTAATACAGACCGCATAAAACAAAATCTACCTTAGATAAT